TTTGCATGTAGATTTTTCAGCTCATATCCCAAATGCTTTTCACTCCTAGTTTGAGATTCTAAGATTTGCTTCAACATAGCATCAGTACTACTATCTTGTGGAGAAGAAGTGGATGATCCAGCTTGGTTTTTTTGTAGACTGGTTCTCTTTGGAGGGGTAGCCTTGAGGGTTGCTTTGCTGTCCTTGATGACCATCTTGTTGGTCGTTGGAGTAGGACCTTTGCTTGTAGTTGTTATACTGAAAATTAGGCTCCTTCTTGTACCATGTCCCATTAGCATCGACAAAGCACAACTCCTCTTGTCCTTCTATACCATCAACCTCATTAACCACAACATTCCTCTCTTGGTTCTGCTCACCAACAAAGTTAACCTTCTCTTGTTTAGCTCCAGCTGAGATGAGCATATCAATCTTGTCTTGTAAGGCTTTCAACTCTTTCTTAGTGTTCTGATATTCACCTCCACTACCTTTGTTGCTTCTATCATAATCATCATTGTAGACTGAATCACTCTTAGCCATATTCTCTACAAGCTCCAAAGCTTCATTTTCAGTTGTGCTCAAGAAGGATCCATTGCTAGCAGTGTCAAGTTGGCCTATATACTTAGGCAAAACTCCTATGTAGAAAGTGCTAAGCAAACTCTCCATATTGAAGCCATGATGAGGACATTGAGAAATGTAGTTGTTGAACCTTTCCCATGCTTCTCCAAAGTTCTCAAGATTCTTTTGAGTGAATCTAGAGATCTCATTCTTAGCTTGGCAGTTCTTGAGGTAGAGAAGAACTTGGTAAGGAAAGCCTTTTTGCAGTCATCCCAAATAGTGATAGAATCCCTTGAAATATTTTTTTCCCAAGTGTGGGCTTTGTCTCCCAGAGAGATGGGAACAACCTCAGCTTGAATGCATCTTCAGAGACTCCATTGATCTTGGTTGTGCCACACAGCTTGTCAAAGTTATCCAAATGGTCTAGGGGATCTTCCAAGGCAAGACCATGGTACTTGTTTTGCTGGATCATGTTGATCAAGCTGGACTTGATCTCAAAGTTATTATTCTCCACAGCTGTAACTCTGATACCAGCTCTATGACCATGTATGTTGGGTTGATCATGAGTGTTAATGGTCCTTGTTTGGCGCTGTGAGCGTTGTGGCCTAAGGTTGGCAGCTCCTTGACCATCACCCTCTTCATCTTAGGCTGATTCTGATGCTGATCCATCACTAACCCCAATCTTTCTAAGTGAGCCTGCTGCTCTTCTTCTCTTCTCCTTTTTGCTAACTCTCTTTCTAAGGCTCTGATATTATCAACTCTTGGAACAAGGTTTTTTGGTCTTTTACTCCTCAAGTTCATGTACCTGCCATAGAGAGAAAGATGACGATAGAAAATTAGTACTAGTAAATAAATAAATAAGATTTAGTCTCAAGCAATGACCAAATCTCAATGTCAAAATTAACTTAGAGCTGTCAACGGCGCCAAATTTGATAAGGAGTTTTTAAGTCCTTAAGCAAATCAAAGTAGTTTTTAAGATATCAATCCAAATTCTAAGTGTTTTGATTCAAAGAGATTATAAGCTATGCTTTATCTAAATGCAATCAGTTTAGAGAATGTGAAATGATTTAAGAACAATACAAAATGCAACAAGTGACAAGCTTTATCTCAATGGGGACCCTTGACTCGAATTGGTTCGCCTCTACCCAGACCACTTATAATCGGACTCGTGTACAATAATAACAATCTTCAAGTTGGTGTGAGCTCTGTGCCATTCAGTGGACACCACAACAAATTCACTGCCACTTTTGATAAGAGAAAAAGGCTATCTAATCATTGAATCTTATTTACTCGTGTGGTAAAAAGCTATTTTACAGTAGACTTTGAACCACAACAATATCTTATTTTGCAAGTAACCACAATATTGACTATAACCTTTTTTAATAAAAAAAAAAAAAAGCGTCTAAACTCTAAACACAAACATGACTTCTTCTTTCTTTTTGAGAACTACACACAAACATGACTTCGTCAAATAAACACTGACGCAACTAAGAGAAAATAAGATATAACTATGTTTATATATAATTTGGTCTCGACAACTAATTAAATTAGAGTACTTACGTGATCGGTTGTTGTTGAGGTAACGTGAAAATTATATAAGACTTGTTACCATCAACCATCAACGGAATATTATCGTGAACACCTATATAACTAAATATTCACTACAAATAAGGATTTTAATTCTCTTGGAAGCTAAATTATTAGTTTTTTAATGTTTCCATTCACCATCGATCAAATTGTAATGAAATAAATTTTTTAATATTTTTTTTTCTTTTTCTTCAATCATTATCTAGATTTGATTTGATTTGATTTTTCATGCATTTGAAAATTATAATATGAAACCGTTTAAAATTCATATAACATGAAATCAAAAAAATCTAAAACCTCAAGCATTTTAACCGAATAAATATTGATTAAGAATAATAATTATATTTTAATAAATTAAAAACCAAACTAACATAAAACCGAACCGATATCAAGATTAGACATATTTATGTGGAAACAGAAAGCGCCGAAACGTAATTTTAGAAATACTTAGGAAACTGATATGTGTTGGAAGCGTGTATATATATATATATATATATATATATAACACCAAAGTTAATATATTGAACATAATATTTTAAATAGGAAAATTCACTACAAAATTTATATACTATAACTTAAATAAAATAATATGCATAATTACAAATAACAAATATAATATAACATGTGTAAATCATATGTATAATTACTTTGGAACTAATAAAATAAAATACGAAAGTTAATTATTTAATACACACCAACTGATAATACAAATAACATGAAGCAAAACAAATAAGTGATAAAACAAATTACAATTATGTTATTATTCAGAAACCTGGATTTGAAATGGATTTACGTTTTTAGTATTCAGTTCTATTGTTATTTATGGATTAAGATTTTATAAAATAAAATGAGTTAAATTGTGTTATAAATCAATTAAAATTTGCAAGCCTACAAGAAAAAATCCATCTTCTTTACACATCAATAATACAATCATCGTCAAGCTTTCGAACATCATAATTCTTAAACGTGATTCCGTGACGATTTCATGCGATTCCGAATGTTTCCAGTTCCGATTCTGCTTCGGAAATAAGAAACGTGAAAATGAGTTTTTAAGTCCTTAGTCAAATAAAAGTAGTATTTTAGATGTCAATCCAAGTTCTAAGTGTTTTGATTCTAAGAGATTACAAGCTATGATTAATCTAAATGCAATCAATATAGAGAATGTGAAATTATTTAAGAACAATACAAAATGTAACAAGTAACAAGTTTTCTCTCAATTAGAGAAGATAAGACTCATGGGAGTAGGTATTTTGTTTAGGTGATCAAGTTTCAATCTAAGGTCGCAAGCTTTCAATCAAAGTGTGTTCCTTAAATCTAAACTACTTAGTTAAGCAAGTTCTAGGTCTAGACAAATGCTCATTTGCTTTCATTAATCAAACACAAATGGTCTTTGGCTTATTTACTTCAAGCAATCATTAAGAATATGTTTAATAACTATCTAAAACTCCCTAGATACAAATGATCATTGGCTAGGTAGTTTTAGAGGTAGGAAAGTTGGTTCAGACATTTACACATACGCCTTGTGGGCAGAAAATGGCTTATGATCATGATTAAAGAGGCCAACAATAATCAAGCATTAAAATCACTCAACTAACAAAGAAACACCTAAATCTAACACATAACACCTTAGATTTACACTTAATCACCCTTACCAACATATCCCATGAATTTAAAATGGATCTACTCATTAATCCACATGATTAACTCAACAACAACGGTTGATTGTTGGTTAAACATGACTAGAGATCAAGATTACTCAACAAACTTAAGAAAATAAGATGAAAAGAAGATAAAGTTATGATCTTTCACCAAATAAGTACTTAGTTTTCAGAGAGAAATACAAGATAAGCCTCCAAAATAAGGTTTAAGGGTATTTATACTAATCCCATAGGGTAAACCAAATAAAAAGCAGAATTTTTCGTTAATAGCGACTTGGCCATCCCGCTACGCTCCGGTCTCTACGGTTTGGTCGTGTCTTCAGGGTCTGCAGCGACCAACCCAAGCCGCTACAGAAGTCGCTACGCTTGCTCGTAGGGGTTCATAGCGACCTGATGATGTTGCTACTCTAAGGTCGCTATGATACTTGTTGGATTTGAGCTCTGGTTTTAAAGGTTTGTAGCTACATCTCAACGCCGCTACGGTGGTCGCTACAAAATCTAGTGCAGGTTCATAGCGACCTAATGAAATCGCTACCCTAGGGTCGCTATGATACTTGATCAGTTTCGAAACTTTGGTTCTTCACTTCCGTAGTGACCATGCCAAGTCGCTAGACATGTCGCTACATAAACTCGAGGATGCTCCTAGTAACTTAGGCAAGTCTCTACGGTGAAACCACTACGGTACTTAGGCTAGTGACGTGAAATGAGCATAAATCTCCCATGTTGGCTCCAAATCAGTTTCTATATCTTCAAAATCACCAAAAATGATCTCCAATACCTGATTCATACAAAAGTGATGCAATGCAACCTAAATGCACTCTAAATTTATCTAGAATCTTAAAATGAAAGCTAAAATGTAGCCTAAAAACATGCAAATGCAAAAGATATCAAAACGCACCTCCGTCGGCGATTCCGTGTAACATGGGATAGACATAACATTTTCTTATCCTAAAAATAATAAAATTAATAATCTTATTTCGGTCAAGATGCGGGTTATTACCTAGTTTATAATGGTTACATGTACATTTAAATATGTGGGCTGTTCAGATAAATAAATTCCTCCTGTTAGATATAACACTTACACTGTAGTATAAATTAACACAAACACAGCAAATGGCAAATAAAATTACCGGGGAAAATAACGAAAAATAACAGATATATTATTTGTTTTGAATTTTGTGAAAAACCCGAAATAAAAAGGTATAAAATGTGGAAAAAGAAATGGGGGAAGAAGTCATCGTTCTTCTTCTTCACACACACGGTTTAACGAAAAATAACAGATATATTATTTGTTTTGACTTTTCTGTTTTTTTTTTTTTTTTTTTTTAAAAAGATGAAGAAGTCATCGTTCTTCTTCTTCATAAACACGGTCTAATGACACTCTTGCCCCTCACATTTTCCTCGTCCCTTGCTATTGCTGCTGCTGCAACCGTACCTTCCTCCTCCCATAGGCTTCCGATCGCTTCTCCTACTGTTCACGGCTTTGTTTCCTTCAAGAAGCATCGTCCTTGAGTGTGAGAGCCATGTCTGAGCTTGTTCAGGATAAGGAATCTGTCGTCTCGGCTAGCAGCACTTCTTTCAGTGAGCTCAACCATTCCCCTACTTTTTTGGATGCGCGAACTGAACAAGGTTATTAGTCTTCTTCTTCTCCCAGGAATAAATTTTAATTTGAGCTTCACTTTCTGTTTAGGAGACGGAATCAAGAGCTATGGAGGTTGTACATTATGGTCATTGTTTGTTTCCTTGTGTTCATAATACTATAAACAAAATCGTATTTCTATTTTCCATTCTTGATTGACTGGATAAGTTTATTGAATTTTGCTTTATGATCTTTCTAGATGTCTTTTAGATGCATATACAGTGAATTATGCAGTCTCCGTCATTAGGCAAAGAAATGTTCTCACGCTAGATAGGTTTTTCAAGCATAGTGACATCTTTACGTGTCTAGGAGTCTAGTGCAATGTTTACTCTAGGAGAGTCTCTATTAACTTGGCTTCATTTTTGCAGATCTTATCTCTGGTTTAAGGAAGGAAAAAGAAGTTGGAAGGTTGCCTACTAATGTTGCATCAGGGATGGAAGAGTTATACTGGAACTACAAAAATGCTGTAATTTAATCTTTTTATCATTCCTTAGTTTGTACGACATGTGGTAGGTTAGTTTTGATTGAACAACATCTTCTCACTGAACTGGCACTGCAATAACTATTATGTTCTTCTTGATGCTTTAAGGTGTTAAGTAGTGGGGCTGCCAGGGCAGATCAAACTGTGGTATCAAACATGTCTGTTGCTTTCGATCGCATGCTTCTTGGTGTCGAGGTACTTCTTCTTTTCCATCGATCTCTTGACTTGGAATGGTTTCTATACAGTGTTTCGTGAGCTTCCTGCTTTGAAATTTTCAGCATCCTTATACGTTCAATCCATATCATAAAGCAATCAGAGAACCATTTGACTACTACAAGTTTGTCCATACATACATCCGTCCCCTGATTGATTTCAAGTAAGCTGAAATTCAATTATAATTTTCTTTTGATTAGTGTCATTGGATCTTGTACTTTTCTTCTTGCCATCAAGTGTTCATCTATGAAATTTATCTTTCAAACAGAAATTCTTACGTTGGAAATGTTTCTATTTTTTCTGAGCTGGAAGACAAAATTCGTCAGGTACACTTCTCTCTCTCTCTCTCTCTCTCTCTCTCTCTCTCTCTCTCTCTCTCTCTCACTCTCTCTCTCTATCTCTCTCTCTCTCTCTCTCTCTCTCTCTCTCTCTCTCTCTCTCCCTCTTTCTCTCTCTCTCTTTCTCTCTCTCTGTCTGGGGAGAGTTTCACTCAACCCCTTCTACGCCCTAACAAAGAAAGATCTCGGCCCACCTTAATGAAGTGATGATTTGACCGGCTTGTAAACCGGCCCATTGGTAATTCGGCCCAGACGAATTAGGTCAAGTCGAGAAGGCCTAGGTCAAGACGAGAAAACAGTATAAAGGGGAGAGAAGGGAGCAACGAGAAGAGATCCGAAAATTAGCCTCCAGAGACTGATAGCAAGATTTAGGGTTTATCTCTTAGATCTAAACTCTTGTAATTTCGTTCTCGTTATCTCTTTGATTCCGAACCTTTGTATTCGTCTTGATATTCAATAAACGTCTTCCTAAACCCACGAAAGAAATACTTAATCGTTTAACCTAAATTCAGATTAAACATTTGGCGCCGACTGTGGGGACTATTTAGGAAGTAACGGTCTGAATGTCACCTACGGAACACATCGGAACCTCGGCTACGGGTGACGTAAACTCAGTAGCTGAGGGACCAGCAACCGAAGCCGAATATCTTTTCGGAATGATGTGGAACGTCCTCGACCGCCTCCTCGACCAGGAACGAGCTACCAAGGAGACCAAACCACGCCTAGCCGCCCTGACCACAGCCACACCAACACCTTCCCCGGCCGAGGAGGCCGATCCGGTCAGGCGACAAATCTTCACAACAACTAACCCCACCACGAACGGGATAAATCTACGGTGACTCCAGATCCGGCAGTTTCCCGCAAAATCGCCAAACTCAAACTCTCACTGCAAGATCTCAACACCAAGATCCGCAGCGTGACGAGCTCAGCCCCGGAAATTGACCGCGTCCTCGCAGCCATTCTCAGGACTCCGTTCACAAAGAAGATTACGAACGTAAAAGTCCAGCGAGCCGAGAAGTTGCGCGTCCCTTTCTACTCTGGGGACTCAGATCCGGCCGACCATGTAACGGCCATTAACATCGCCATGGGGCGAACATCTTTCGCCGATGAAGACAAAGACGCCGGCTTTGTCAACTTTTCGTCGAAACACTTTCTGGACCAGCTTTGACTTGGTTCTCCCGGCTACCGGAGGATTCCATCGGCAGCTTCTACGACCTTTCCACAAAGTTCCTCAAGCACTACATTATGTTCCCAAGGAAAGGAGCCTCCGCCGCCGATCTCTGGAAAATCTCCCAGTCCCATCACGAATCCCTCAAGGACTACATGGTGAGGTTCAAGGCTGTGGTCTCATTGGTCCATCTGCCGGACAAAACGGATGTCGAAGCCCTTCGGAACTCTCTCTGGATAACCTCCCCATTCAGGAAGGATCTGTACGGGAACCCAACCGAACTCACTCTAGGAAGCTCTTCACCGATCTAAGAACTTCATCGTCATGGAGGAGGATAACAAGTCGTTCATCGCCAGGCATAACGCACTCAAACAAGCATCGGCCAAACACGCGGAGCTTCAAGAGCCACGGCAACACATGCCTAACAGGGCGCGTAGTGAAAAAAAGAAGGGAGTTTCCGGCGTCACCGAAGGCGAGAAGACATCCCCCACCAAAGGAAAAGAAAACCCTTCTCCCAACCTGTGGAATGTATGGACACTCGACGTCAATGGTAAACTTCAGATGGTCCACCCGAGTCCTGCCACAACTCAACAACAAGCACCGACGATGTCTTTGGTCACCTATGACCCGAACAAGTCTGTCGTATGACTACCACAAAGCAAAGGGGTATGACACAAAAGAGTGTAAACATCTGCATGAGGCTCTCCTCGTGAAGTTCTTCACCGGGAACGCAGGCGTCGAACCAAAGCCCCGAACCACCAAAAGCAACAGGGGTGGTGGCAAAGGCCGAGAAAGACGCACCTAGAAGGCGAGTGTCGGAACCACTGAACTCGAACAATCGGAGTCGCTAACCCGACACGACTCGGACGTTGACAGTGCTAATAATGAAAGACCACAAAGCAGAAAATGAATCGGCGTCATCCATTCCAGACCTCCTTCACCACCACCCCCCGAGGTAGGCTACAACCCGCCAACAGCGAGAACAAGTTCTGGACACAACACCGAAGAGTGCGACCAACTCTGCACGCGTTGATGACTAGCTTCCTCGCCGGAATTAAACAACGATCCCCCGCAGACACCAACAGGACTGGCGAGACAAAATACAGAAAGCGGATCGACGCTCCCCCACCCACGGTCTCCAAACTTGATCTCGATCCCGGATTCCCAACGAACGAGCAACCAGCAGCGCCGGACCTAGGCCCTCACACACCGCATCCATAAATCATTTGGCTAACCAGCTCGGATGTACTCCACTAACTCACGTCCAAGAGAAAGCGTGTATCAGTTACACGGGAAGTCGACGGCTCTCACACCATGATTCCGGCCAAGAACTTCGACCTCCGCATTCGTCTTCGACCAAAACCGACTGATATGAGTCGACAACTGAGCAGGCCAAACTCGACGGCACATCAGGAACCCAGCAACGGACTCCACCCAACAGACCTCCGCCACAGAATCAGCCAAGCACCCCCCTCCGGGAGTTCCCCCAAAGAAAGTCGAGTCAACATGATATTGGGAGGACATCCCCCATGCGACAACTCGGTACGATCGATTAAAGAAGACCAGAGGAAAGTCGATACCACACGTCGTTGGAAAAACAGTGAGGGAGATGAAATCAATATAACATTATCGGCCAAGGATACGGCCGGAGTCCACACCCCTCACAACGATCCGCTTCTAGTCGAACTCGGTATCAGAGATTGCACAGTAAGCCATGTACTCATCGACACAGGTTGCTCGGTTGATCTGATCTTCAAGCAGACACACCTTCGGATGGACGTCAACCTCGGCAACGTGCAGCCTTCAACACGAACACTCACATGATTCAATGGATCATTCGAAAAGCTACTGGACACCATCGCGCTTATGGTCAGTGCTAGAGGGGTCGACAGAGTGGTCAAATTCACCGTTATAGACATTGAAGCACCCTATAACGCGATCCTTGGTACCCCATGGCTCCACTCCATGCAAGCCGTCTCTTCAATGTACCACCAATGCGTCAAATTCCTAGGGCCGAACAATCGGATCCTAACCCTCATCTACTCTATCTCAAACCTATGATGATGATGCCCGGTAACCCGCAAAGTCTCGAGAGCGGTAAGCCGTCCGACGGTTTTCTCCGCCGCTTCCTCGGCCACTCTCTTATCCCTTTTTGAGGAGGACAACTCAACGGATAGCCTCACTTTTCGGCAGATAGCTCCTCGACCTCACGTTTAAGTTTCTCATTTTCTCCCGAAGGGTCGAGGAACCTAATTCGGCCGTCAACCTTGCGTTCTCGGCGGAGAGATCTTCGACCTTGCGCTTCAATACCTCGTTCTCTCCCTCGAGATCTGGCAGTTGGCTACGGTCGGAGGTTTTTCCGTAAGAGCCGCAACCTCGGACTCCAAACTAACCAAAACATGCTCCGTATCTCGACAAGGCATAATGCCGATTCCAGCCGATGCTCCAAACACCGAACATAATCGTCATAGTCCAGGATCAGATGATTCACGAGAGCGACGTACTGCAAAAATCAGATGACATCATCAGTATGAGAAGGAACATATTATGCTAAGTTCATACCAAAAGAAGGTGATGCAAACTTACAGCAACCTCCGTATGAGCCATCCGACGGTAAACGGCCGGGTTTGATATATCAGATATCGGCGGAACAACCCCCCTATCGAGGGCCTGATCTTCCCAACCAATCCAGAACACACATCGATATCGTTCACAAATAAGCCTTTCGCGTCATATGTGCAGTCCACAATATCGCGATCGGATCCTGCGGCCTCCGTATCCTTCTCAGGGGAATGATCCCCAAGTGGAGACCTAAGCGGAGAAATCATCCCCTTCTCGTCATCATCGTTTGGGGCCGGAGAATAATCCCTCTCAGTAACTGTCACTTCAGAAGACCGCCTCTTCCGGCGCCGTTTATTCCTGCTCTTCACCGGCGGAGTTTTGTTGACTAACTTAGGACCGATCCAAAGTGCGCCGGTGTTGGTTCTTGCGATCGTAGCTTGGGCCTCACGGACTTCGGCCGTCGTCTCGGCTCGATGAAACTCCTCATACGAGATTGCATCCCTAGAAGGATCAGGAGGCGACAAATCATTGTATGTGCCTTTTTCCTCTTCGGTTTCGTCACCTTCTGACTATCTTTCCGTGCTTCCTCTTCTTAGATGCCTTCGGCATCGCGAAAGGATCCTCCTCCCCATCAACATCGACGACCTCCTCGTCGATGTCCAAGGGAGCCGCTTTCCTCTTTTACTTGCTCGTTTTCTTCGGCAAAGGGGGCCTCCCATCCTTCCCGACATTCGCACAAACTCCCCCATCCTCGGAATTCACTCGAGTCGGTAAAATCTTATCCTTCGCCTCGGGTTTTGGAAAAACGGGAACTTTTTCTTCCGCATCCAGAGCAGGGATGTCGTACTCTTAATCCGCTATTGACAAGGAAAACACCACGAACAAGTCAGAATATGTACCCCGACGATATCTAACCAAAAGGAATATAAAGTTTTTCCGAACTTACCATTCGTGATCATAGGGAGCGCTCCCCCTGTACGCTTGAGACTGAAGCCATCCCAAAGTTCCTGGTCATTTTGAACAATGCGGCGAACCTCTTTGGCAACCTTCGCCGAGCAAAATCGCGAATCCGGACGAACTGCAGCGAGACTAAACATCA